TCGCTGCATTTCCTCCCGGATGTGGTGCGCGTGCTGTCACAATTGATCACAGTGGAGGACAGTGACATGACTGCCCTGTTGGCGTGGTTGCATGATTACACATACCACACATTGCACTCGGAGATAGGCCAAGACGCATACTACAGTGACCTTGTCGACGGCGTTATGATCGACCTCCAGATGGCCACTATCGCGGGATTCACGGGTATGCATGTGTGTGTGTGGGAGAGAGAGAGGAGGGGGATTGTGCACGTGTTTGTGTATGTGCATGTGTTGGTGTGTGTTTCTGTGTATGTGTCTCCGAGAGTGTGTGTGTGTCTCTCTGTGTGTGCGTGCGTGTGTGTGTGTGTGTACATGTGTGTGTTCGTGTGCGCGCGCGCGTGTGTGTATGTGTGTATGTATGTGTGTACGCGCGCGCGCGTGTGTGTGTGTGTGTGTATGTGTTTGTATTTGTATTTGAGTTGTCTGAGTGTTTGTGAGTGCATGTGTGTTGTTGTGCAGGACTGTGTCTTATCCGTTACACTCAGAGAAGTCCAAGACTCCTATCACTGCGGCTGTGGTGATGATGTGGTAGTACGAGATCATTGTTGGACTATCTGATATGTATGCCAAAGTGTCGCATCCGCGTTTGGGTGGCATAGTTTCTTTGTTAGTTGTGTGTTTGTCTTGTAGTTTGTTCATCTGTTGTTGTGTGTCTCTTAACATTTAACCATGGCACCTAAATACACCCCGTGATCCCGAATGTCGGCCCTCCCACAGACAATGGAGGGCAGTTTATGAACCACACAGAACGGGCTAAGCCTCGACTGCTACGCCATTTCCCCAAAGCGTTAACGGCAAAGGAACTCGCCGAAGGCTCCTCTACATCAGGTACCCGTTTGTTTCAGAGTAGTGGGGTTGTGTGTGTGTACTTTATCCTGATTCGAATCCGGCGTCTGTTTTATTTACAGTACACGCATCATCCGTCATATCTATTCGACCGTAGTATGTTTGATGGTCTGTTTGTGGGATTTATTCTGATGGAGTTTGCGTTCATATCCACTAACCCATAGTCTAATAGTCTGTTTGTCGTATCGTATATATTCTATGTAAGTTTGCGTTCATATCCCCTACCACATACCCGACCCCCTCACAACCCACTGTCCAACCCTCCTACAACAGACGCCGAGGAGGGACCCAAGACCTGGACTACACTTCGCAAACAGACAATTAAAGAGGACAAACCCCTGGAATACCTTGGGGTGTGGCTGTTGTTTGCTGGTGTTGGTGAACGGGCCGGTGTGGAGCTGAGGCGTTACGCGGGCGATAGCGTTGTGGAGGATGGCCACAGAGTGCCGCAGCTGGTGACGGATAGTCCACTGTATCGTGCATCACTGGTATGATGGGGTGTGAATATACTAAGGACTACATGTGGGTCTTATGTGCTTGAATGTGATCACTGGCATGATGGGTGTGAATATACAATGGACTACATGTGGGTCTTATGTGCTTGAATGTGATCACTGGTATGATGGGGTGTGCGTAGGGGGAATAGTGTGGGTATAGACAGACACCTATGAACGTACTATGTGTGTATTATAAAGGCTTTTAACGCGTACTTCTAACAGTAAATTTAACTAGAATTCCAACTTTGACCATGAAAACACCGAAACATTCCCTTGGGACTGCACACACTGGCAGCAGCTGACACACACGCGTATGTTCAAAGTACTCACACAACAACCACATGTCCCTCTCTCGAGCCTCACGTCTGCTACAACAGCCGTCCACTCCATCCATTTCTTTGTACACAAGCGTCTTTATAGATCACATGTGTACCTTCGCTGCACATACTCGCTCACAACCTACATGGATTGTATATGCTTCACACGATCTATATGCTTTCTAATCCATCTCTTGTCTTGTGCAGTTGTTGTTCGACAAGAGTCTGATGCCAGCAAAGCCCGTGAATACCTATGACAATGAGTATGTATATATACACATTCCATATGCATTGTTATTTAATCGTCTATCGATATATATTTAATCGTCTATCGATATATATATATATATAATATATATATGTATGTATGTATGTATATAATATATATATTTATG